CATAATTTTTATTGCTAAAAGTTTCATGGGTTTAGCAATTATCAGGTAAAAAATACATTTTTGTAAATCAGGTAAAAAATACATTTTTGTTTTTTTTTGTTAAAAAATATACTCTTAATAAACATCGTCACATTCAAAAACAATTATAAAATGTTACTATTTGCAAACTATTTGGTTTGGTTTTTTAATCTTTGGGCTCGTGGTTGTCAAGACGGTTTTCATGACGGCACTTAGATATTATTTCTGTTTTTTTATTTAATAATTCTTGTGTATCTTTGTATGATATTATGCAAAGTTTTTCATGAGGGCAAAGCAAGCATTTTTTTGTTATGCTGCTGTAGGCAAGAACTTGTTTAATTATTGACCAAGTTAATTCGGGTGTTATTTTTAAGTTTTCTTTTATCTGCCATATATAATTTGAAAGGGTGGTTGAATTTTTCATCTTTTTTTTAGTGAATAAGTGTTAGTGTTTAGCCCATCTTTTCTTCCATTCACCTTCTGCTAGGCCAATATATACTTTTTCCGGACTGCCAGGGAGGGGGGGGGATGCTATACATTTATAAATAACGTTTAAGGCTCTACATTTTCCAATTATAAGGCAGTTTTTTTAATGCAATTGCAGGGTGGGTATTCTTTTGATCTTTTTGAACTGATTTATATGTGTATATATATATATATATATATATATATATATATATATATATATATATATATATATATATATATATATATATATATATATATATATATATATAGTGAAAACTAAATAATTATTAAGATATATTTCAATTACACAACCAAAAGTTTCACGCAATAGAGATCATCAGATGTAACCTTACATCTGATGATCGCTCTTGTGTGAAACTTTTAGTTATGTAATTGAAATATATGTTAATAATTATTTAGTTTTTATTTAGTAAACAGGAAATGATAATTATTTAATGTTGCTGTAAGCAACTATTGTAATCTATATTGTAATGTCATTTAAAAGTGTTTTTGGTTGTGAAAATGCTTCTCATAAGAAATTAGATTTTTTTCATTTTTAAGCTCCACAAACATAAAAAGCTGGAAAAAAGGTTCTATAATGGAGTTATGCGCACGTTGACAATTGTATACATGATTATCAAACCTATCTGTTGATTGCCCAGTTCTACAACTAGAAATGTGCCTATTAGTGCGAAATCGTAGGTTATTTGTTTTTCCGGTGTATGTAGCTTTCTTGTTACATGACAAACATTTTAAATAGTATATTACATTCTTTCTATTACAAGTAATATGGCTTTTTATGTTCCATATAGTACCATTTGATGTCGTAAATGATTTAACTTTTTGAAGGTAGAATTTACTCATTTTACAACGATTACCATTACATTTAAATAATCCTACTTCTTTACTGGTTAATTGAATTTTTGAAGAAGTAAGTGTTCTTAGTAGATTGGGTGGTTGTTTATATGCAATTACTGGTTGGACATTAGAAAAAACTTCTTTTACTCTTTCATTTGAAGATAGATTAAGCAAAAAATTTGTTTCAGTAATAAAAGGTTGGCAGTTCAGATTGCTGTAAAAAGTTGTAACTAAAGGAAAAATTTCTTTTGATTGAATTTGAGGAGCTGGTCCTTGGAGTTTCGCGTTGTGAAATACTTTTTCAATAATATTATTTGGATATTCGCATTCTTTTAGCCACGTTTTTAGTTCTGCTAAACGTTGCTTTTCTTTATTGTAATCAGATGTGAAAACAATTATTCTTTTAGCAAGGCCATAAGGGATGTTCTTTTTTATATGATATAGATGATGGCTGTTGTAGTTTAAGTAGTTGTGAGTATTGGTTTCTTTATAATAAATATCCGTTTTTATATTTCTGTTGTTTTCAAGAATGATAGATATGTCTAAGAAACTAATAATATTATAAGTATTACCATCTATTATAAATTCTTTGCCCATGTCTGTTGTAAAACTGATTGAATTATCTATTTCGGTCAAAGAGTTTTTAAACTTAACGATATCTAAATGTTTAAGCCAAATTAAGAAACCATCATCAATATATCTATAATAAAATTCCTGTATGTCATTTACATCTTTACTGGAAAAGTATTTAGGCAAAATCTTAGGAAAAAGTTTTGTTTCTTCTAAATATCCAATTGTTTGGCATGCATAATCTGGAGCAAAATTCGTACCCATGGCTGTTACAATAATTTGCGAAAACATTTGGTCGTTGAATAGAAAGTTGTTGTTTTTTAAAAAAAAGTTTGTTGATTCAATGATAAATTCAAGAGTAAATCTTTTATCTATTAAACTTTTATGTTTTTCAATCCAGTACTTTAATGTTTCTATACCTAGATTGTGTGGAATACTAGTATATAGATTAACAATGTCACAAGTCAAAATACAACTATCCGAATTTAACGCTCTTGGTATCTTTCTTAAGAAATCCCAATCATCTTTAATGAAAGTTTTTTGTTTTGTTACAATTGGAGACAAAATTATATGTAAGACCTGGCTTAAATGTGATGTTGGTGAGTTAATTCCAGCAATAATTGGTCTACCTTTGAGATCATTTGGTGGTTTCATTTCAATATAAAGTGAGTTACTTTGTCTATAATTTATGTTAATAATATAATTTACGTATAAAATACGTTTACTTTGTCTATAACTTCTTGACATTTATGAATTTTCGGAGTTATATAGAAACTACTAGATTTCCATTTAAAATTTGTGATGTAATTTTTTTCATTTTTTGTTGAAAATTATATTTCTCCTATCATTTTTATTAAATCTCTAAAAACAATTTTATCTGATTCAGGTTTTGTCCTTTCATAAGTACTTGCGGAGAGCAGGTTGTCTTGATGAACTAGTTTTTTTATTATAATAAGTTGAATCCATTACAATAAAAATGTTTCCCTTGTCTGCTTTTTTAATAACTATATTTTTCATTTCTTTTAGATCTTTTAATGCCATCCTTTCTTGTTGAGTAATGTTGTCAACTGACTGCATTTTGATAGGTTTAATTTGTTCAATTTTTGAAATGATTTCATCAAGATATGGTAGAGCTATTTTGATATTATAATTTGACTTATTTTTAATTATGTTTATGTCTGTATTCTCCGTTCCATGAAATTTTTCTTTAAGTATTAGTTTTCTTGTGAATTGTTTTAAATCAGAATCAATGTGTAAATTATTTTCTTTAGTAATAGGGTAAAACTTTGGACCTTTTGTAAGAAGTGATATTTGAGATGTTGTCAGGTGTTTAGTTGAAAAGTTGATGACCTTAGGTTGTATTTTTTTTGGATTAGGCTTGACCAGTTTTTTGAAGTTATAATGTCTGATGTTTTATTATGATTATTATTTATATTGGTTGAGCTAGAGGATGTTGAGCAATTGATATTATGGTTTTGGTGGTTATCCTCTTGTTTGTTATTTTGCACATTTTTTGAATTTTGATTATTTCTGTCTTTTTCATACGCTGTTTTAGTAGAAGCTAATTTTTTGGCCCATTTTTTGTCAATGCGACTAATATCCTCTTTTTTACATTCCTTGCATCGAAATACTAATTTTTCTTTAACTTCTTCGCTAGACGCATGATTATTAATAAAACTAATTACTTTAACGTCAAGGTTTTTTAATGAAGATAAAAAATTTTCTATCTTCATTAAAAAACCAAAACCATAATATCAGTTGTTCAACTTCCTCTAGCTCAACCAATATAAATAATTTACAATATACCAAACCTATATTACCATTACCTATATTTATGTATAATATACATAAATATAGATAGTTATTCCTGTTTATATACTATGCAAAGATATAGATATATATATAAATATGATTTTTTTTAGTCTTTTAAGTGTGTTTTTTTGTTTTGAACAGGTGTGTGGAGTCGTAAAAAAAAAGTAACGACTCTGACTCCAGCTGTTGAAATTTTTTGAGCACAACTCCGACTCCAATACCGACTCCGACTCCATTTCCGAAGCAAAATTTTTGAAAATTCTTTGAATTCTTAAAAAAATATTATGCCATAAGTTAATTTCTTTTTTGACAAATTTATGAAACGTTTTTTGAGGTTCAGTATGAACATAAGGTTAGTTGAATGTTTTGCACATGCACGTGCAATACTGAGAAGTTTTATTATTGGAGTCGGTGTCGCGATTTTGTTTAGCGACTATGATTATGACTCCGCTAAAAATGTCATAACTCCGACTCTACAGCCCTGATTTTGAAAAAACTAAATTGATATTTTATAAAAATATAGCGATTATTTTTCAGCATTTACTATAAAACAATACTATATAATTTACTATAAAATAACTGTTTATTATTATACGAGGACTAAATTGTATAAATGTTTTATATAACTATTATCGTGAAAGATTTTTAAATAGAAAAGAAACAAAAAACCACTTTGTTTGGATTCTGCAAATATATGAGGAAATTTTCAACAGTAAAATGAAAATTTCGCTAAACTCTTATCATATTGCTTTCCCAATCCATACCCCAAGTTAATGTAGCATTACTCCTTTAAATGTTCTCTCTAAATCAGTTGATGTATGTACTGAAGCCCTTTGTACTGAATGTAGGTACTGCCCTTTTCCTTGATGTATGCATCTTGAATATGCACTGCTCTTTGCCTTGATGTATATACTGAAACCTTTAACTGTGTTTCTGCATTTTACTCTTGCATTTTACTTGTTGAAACTTCCAATAATTTTGCCAATAATTTTGATATATTGTCAGAGCAAGAACCAAGAGGCTGTATATCCACATTTTGTGTATTAATATATATTTTATTATCTTTATGTATGATTAGGAGATAACAATTTTAATTTTATTGTTATTGTTATTAAAAATTTTTTATTTGTCAAATTAAGTGATCTGTTACTTTCAATATTAAACAAAATTTGAACTATATTTATTTGTGTTGGTTATATATTTTCATATTTTACTGGGTTTTTTTTATTATTAATAGTAATAAGGTCACAAGATAACTATTAAATTTTGTTTAGGTTTGTAAAAAAAGAGTTTGAAGTTGACAGGGCATTTAAAGTATCTACATATGGCTCAACATCAATATATGTGTGTGAACCTGAATCAGATGTTGATATATGTATATTTGCTGAGCAGTGTGTTTTTTCAAGTGACATATTTCCTCTAGAAATGCGATTATGCATGAATGAATTTTGTCATGATGAGAAAGAAAAACATATTTTACGGTTTGTGATTTCACGAGCATTAGATTCAGTGGTATCTTCAAAAAGGGAAATTTTAGATGCCAAAATTCCTATTATTAAATGTGTGATAGGCGACGAAGACAGTGCAGTCAGTTGTGATATTTCAATGAATTTGATTGGTAAACTTAAAACACAGTATATTCTTTTTCTTTATCAAAATAATTGTTTGTATTTACCTTTATTTTGGATATTAGTGAGCTGGGCAAGAGTTGTTGGTTTAGTAAAAAGTGCTATAAATTGTAATGGAGTTATGGATACAGCTGAGTTTTACTCACTTATTATTGATTTAATGAATACAGATAATTACGAAAACTATTTTGTTGAAAACAATCGGTATAGTTCAATTTCATATCTTTATAGCTGCTTAGACAAACTTAAAAAAAGAGATAAACATGAACTAGGATTAATGTTGCACACTTTTTTTCGAAAAGCAGCAAATTTGAAAAGTAATTTAGTACTCTGTTGGCCAGCACCTAATATTCCAGAAGTTAAAATCGATTCCAAAGTAACTGAAAAAATAGCAATTTTTGCACAGAGCGCATTTCATTCGGTATCAGCAACAAAAAATATAAATGAGTTGTTCTTACACGCTTTGAAATCAAAAACAAATTTAATAGAGCATTCATTTAAATTGCCACTTTCTGTGTCCTATGCAATGACACAGGCTTGTTCCTTTCATTCAAGCCGGCTTTCAAAACTAACTGGTGCAATTGTTTCTGTAACTCCAAAAGAAGGTACAAAAAATCTTTTGGTTACTGCAGTGGGCTCCAGTTTATCTATAAATCTCCTTCGTTCAGAAATACGCGATCTCATTCATACAAATAAAGCTTTAGTTTTAGGTGTGTTACTTAAAAAAAAGTCAAAATATTTTATGGAGGGTTCATCATTATTAATTGTTGAAGGAAAAACACTGACCTATAATCCAATTTTAAAATTTGAAGCAAGTTTAGGTGCATTTGAACTTTTACACACATCCAATAGAAAAGACTCTTTGTATGTAGAGACAGACTTGGATCCATTGCCTTCGTGGTTGGATGAAGAGTTTACAAGATTCCAAACCTGTATTTTTGTACAGATGTCAAAGTTTCCACATGCAAAAAGTATTCCTATTGATGCAACTGTACGATATGGTTGTTTTTATTTAATTGATCTCAGTAAACAATTGCCTGACTCTACAACTTGTTTAAAAATGAGTGAAATCAATCGATCTATTGAACGAGGCTGCATTAATCGTAAAAAATGGAATAGGATAGATTACAATTCATCAAGCAACAATAAAAGGTATAAGTTATTATATATTCAACATTTATATATTGCGCATATATATTCACTTCATTAAGGTTGATGATGCTGATATTTCAACCCTATGATTTTTATGATTAATTTTTTTTTATTATTATAGTAAAATGATTTTTGAAATATTTTTTTTTTTGTTTTTGTTGTGAAAAATGAGCTATCGGAATATGTTAAAAATAAATAAATAATTGAAAGTTATTTAGTAAAATGAGTTTGTTTGAAGAAAAATGCTGTTTAATAATAATTTCTAATATTTGCTGCTTTATAATATTTTATAGCTGTTTTATAATAATTTATAATATTTAATATGTTGATATAAGTTTTATACTTTAGTGAAAAAGAAATTAAAAGCTCATTTTCGATAAATCGAGTTGGTTGGTGATTTTTAAAGCCCCACCCCCCTCCCTTACTTTATTAAGGATTCGAGAGTAACTCAACTTCATAATCAAAATTAAAGTCAAATTTGTGATTTTTTTTTATTAATTTCTCAGCTTGTTGTAGTTTTTCTAGAATTTCAGCTTCATTTAGGCATTTACATTCCACTCTTTTTATGTCAATATTTTTGTTTTTTTGTATAGACGTATTGAACTTGAAAATGTTCTTTTAATATCTTCGGAGTTCAAAATCGCATAACTAGCATTCCAGGAAAAAAATTTCTATAGAATTTTCGATAAACTTTTAAAACAAATGGCTTTTAGAAACTCTATAGAATTTCTATAGAATGTCTATTAATTTCTATAGAAATTGCAATAAAACTTTTTTTTCTATAAAAAAAGTATAAAAAAAATTTCAATAGGAACTTTTATAAAAGTTAACAGAAACTCTATAGAAATTTTACGTAATTCTATAGAATTTCTATAGGCCATATGTTTCAAAAGTTTATATAAAATTCTATAGAACTTTTTTTCCTGGGATTCGATAATACCGCGTATCTACAGTACAGTTTTTTTTACTAGAAAAAGTTTAAAACTTTATATATTTTTTTATTTCAACAGACTTTTGGTTCATTTTAGTATAAAGAGTATTATACATGTTTTTTGTAATGTCAACAATAGATATTTGGTGATAGAATTATTAATATCCGTAATATAGTAGCTAATGCTAATTACGCGAATTTTTACGTTAGTAAAAGTTACGGGACCCCGACAATACTTAAAGTCCAATTACTGCTTGATTCAATGCATATATTGCTGGTGTCACTGGACAAATTGGTATTTCAATAAGTTGCAAATGATGTTGTGATGATTGAGATAATGTGTTAAGATTTTTATTAGATTGAGTTTGTGTAAGTTGAGCTTTTATAGGTTGAGTTTGAGGTGGTTCAAATGTTTTAACAATTTGTAAATTATATTTATTAATTTTGTTAATATCAAGTAAAAATAAACTAGTATTTTGAAATTCTCTAATATTACTTGTAATCGTGTAAATACTTCACCACTGTTATAAAGTTTGGCTTGAGGGTAAATAAAACTTTCTTTTGATAAATTGCTGCATAATGTACTTGTACAACGCTTTTATTATAATTTTTGCCAGACCTTTTTGACATGACAATTTACTCTTACATCTAATGGTTAAAGTATGTGGAAGGAGTGAGCTGGTAAACATTTTAACTTGATATTATTCTTAATTCACGTTAGCGCAACTTGATATGTTACAAGTGTGTATGACAGTTCAATACTAACCTGGAGTTTTTTTAATTATTGGTATAAGTAATTTATTCAGCCATTGCATGAACTGTTTATCTTCTATTCATCCTGACTATAAGGGGCTGTTCAAATAATACGTGACACTATTTTAGGCATTTTTAGAGACCCCCCCCTCTCCCTTATGTGACATTTTGTGGCCTTTTAAAAACTCCCCCACCCCCGCCCCTGTGTGACGAGAAAAAGACAAAAGTTTGGAATTTTCACAAGTGTCTATTTAATTGTAACAGTTCATATTCAAAAAAAATACAATTGACATGTTTCTGTTTAAGAAACATGTCCTAAATTTGTTCCCAAATTGGACTTCGACCTTTAAGTATTGGAGTTCCATGCTCTTCAATAATTATTGAAGGCCAGTTTAGATCAGAGGTATCAACATCGTCCTGATCATGCCATTCAATTGTTTCTTTGTCTGAATTTAAAAAGACACAGATGAGTTCAGATAGACGTTGAGCAACTAGGCGATGAGGTTTAACTTTTTGAATCTCATTCGATAATCCAATACTTGAGCAAACTGTTTTGTGCTGTTTCATTGATTTGATAGTGGCAAAATATAGACTACAATTTGGTACAAATTCTTTTTGGTAAGGAACTTTGAATGCTCGGACATGAGTAGTCGTATGGCAATCCTTTGGGAAACTTTTTTGTAATTGTCTTGGGAAAAATTGTTTTGCTTAGTGATAAGTTTAAAAAGAGGCTTGCAAAGTTATTCTTTGTATTATTGCACTCAAGGCCATTTTCTCCTTGGAACAAAGAAATTGGTGGAGGAAGAAAACCAGTTGGAATAAGATGGAACAGTGAGCTGCAACGATGATCACAGCAGTTTTGATCATTACATTTTACAATTTGAAGCAAGTATTGACTTTCTTTGACATGTTTAGCATCCCACTCTGCTCCAAACTGTTTTCACTGTTTGGTTTTTTGTACTCTGCAATAGTTTCAAATCCATCAATGACTGTGCTTGACCAAATTTGTGCAAAAAACTTCGCAAGCTTTGGCAAAATTTGCCTTCTCCATAAGTTTGTCTGTTGTTTCTCCTCTTGAATTAAGATGGATTCCAAAATGATTAAATGGAAGTATAATTCCTGCAAGGTCATGGCTTAGCGGAGCCATTCTTTTCTCTACCCTGTTAAAGGCACTTCTGCCAGGAGCATTGGTTACCACAAACATGCCATCAAGGTCATGGTCTTTGAAATAAGTCTTGGCACAATGAATTGTTTTTTCATATCTTGGATTTTCGTCTGGCCCACCATCAACAGTTATAATCATGAGTGGTTTGCTAACTCCATCTTCAGTAAATAAGCTGCTTTCAAATGCAGGAAGATGGTTGATTCTATTAATGTCTTCTAAGTAACTAAGTGCTGTTGATGAATCATGTTTTGCACTTCTGATTGCTATGTATGTTGGGCCAGAGTATTTGACAACTTGTTTTTCCATGCAATCTTTTTTGATTTCTATGGCTGCAATTACTGAAGGAATAAATTTGTGTTGACGAGCAATTACAAAATCATGATCAGCTCAAGTCACCTTGTACTCCATATGTATCATGATTGGTGTTTGACGTTCAGTGGCTTTTTGACGAAGTACAAGATCTCGGTTTTTTTCTATCAAAAGCTTTTGTTTTTGTCTTAATATATGGTGGTCCTCTTGTTACAACAAGTTGCAATTTCTTTTTTCAGTAAAATATGCGATATCTTTTTGTAAAATAAAAATTTCATTCTTTAACTGATCTTGTTTTGGCGCAGGTCTTTTTAAAACTTTTAACGAATTGGAGTTTTCTTGTGAGCCTTTTTCACTGTCTTCACTATTTGTAATTGATGGGGTTGCATCAGTCAAGTCATCAAAAGTGATTTTAGATTCAATCACAAGCTTTTTTGGTGTATAGTTTTGTAATTTTGTGCAGTAAGATAAAATACCAACTTTATTTCAAAGTTCAATTTGCTTTAGTTCTTTCAATTTTTTTTCAACTTCTACATTTATATCGAGTAATGTTTTGCTCTTTGTTTTGATCTCAGACCAGATTTTATTTGTTTCTTCTTGCTTTGGTTTGTTTGCAAATGCTTTTAAATATCCTTCATAAATAGATTTGTAGAGTTGTTCCTTTTCACTAGACATTTTTATTATATTACAACAACGACAATAAATTTATTTTCCTAACAACCATTAATTAAAAACAAGCACATTGTGAATTAATGTTAACAATAGCATTATTATTACTAAAATTCGTTAACAATCTAACTAACTTAATGAATAATAAAAATACAAATATAAAGTAATTACATAATAATAAACTAATAAAGTAATTAGACCAATTATTTGCAATAGAGTGACACAAAATATTAAAAGTAATACTAATAATAACATCGAAAATAGAATAATATCGATTATGTATTATATTTGAAGACCTAATTTTAAGCGAAAACAACACTTAACTTTTTAGTCTATTAATATAAACTAGCTGGGGTGACCCGTAAAATACGGGTCTTTACCGAACCGACCATTTTTATACTTATCTATAGCTATCCGGACGTAAACTAAGGGTCTTAGTAAATCTATTCCACACCGACCTTTTCTATACTTATTCCTTACCTCAATATTTTTTTAAAACCGTTTAAAAATGTACATATAAAAAACTATACTTACTTTTTGATATGACAAAAACATTTCTGTTAAAATGTTCTTTTAAAAACTTCAAACGATTTTAATATTATGCCGATTATAAAAATTTTAATAAGAAAAAACGTAAAAAAGACTACGAACTTAGAAAAATGCTAAAACATTCAACACGTGACGCCGTTAAAGTACGCCTTAGTTAACGTTCATAACATATACACATCTAATTAGATTTTATTTAAACTCAGTTGTTGCAAACTTGGTTTTGAATTTTTAATTACACTTCTTATGCGTCATAAATAATCTTAAATTCTAAATAGAAAATACGTTTATGGGCTAATTGGTAGACGCGCAACACTTAGACAGATATAGTCATCTTACCCCGGGAGTTCATACTCCAGTGACTTTTTTTTTTCATCCCAACTTACAACAAAAGTAATTAAAAATAAATGTTATTATTGAAACAGTTTTAAACATTTCTTCCTATTTATCTTTGAACTTAACTTTATTCACTGCAAACATACTTTTGGTGTTTGTAAGCGTTATTTTACGTTTAGTATTTGTAGGAATTATTTGCACGCACGTATTTTAAACAATTATTTTTACTGTTTCATCTAAAAATCTTATTTAATTTAGTTTAATAATTTCTTAAATATAATATATATAATA